CTGCCATTCTATCCATCTGCATCTGGCGGGCGGCCATCAATGCCCCGCGCCGAGCATGCTCACTCCTGCCGCCCCCTGACCCGCTCTCAGCCGCTGATAAGCCACAGAATGGGCTCTTGTTGGGATGAGTGACAGGAGAGTGGCTCCGATAGGGACAGACAAGGGCCTGAAAGGGACAGACCCTGGAGACCCACGCAAAGCTGCCAAACCATCTCTGTTAACCCCTTCGGCTTTGCAGCCAGCCTCGGCTCCCGCCATCACCACCACGGAGCTCCGCTGGCCCAACAGGATGGTGGGAGAAGGTGGCTTGAGGGCGAGCAAGACCGCAAATACTGGAGAAGCTTGAGGAATCCTGCCTATCTCAACGGCTCCCAACCCCCTATGGTTCCCCCAACCCTCCTGGTGTGGTGCCTGAGAAGCATCTCTGGGGTTCCCCATCTCCTTACCGACTGCTCTCAGGAGTGGGCTTGGGGTACCCCTCCACTGTTCCCTCCCAGACAGCGTTGGCCAGGGCGTTGCCGATGGCTGTCATGACCATGAGAAGCTCACTAGGCCAGTCATCCAGGTCCAGGGAGCGCACGCGGGACAGGTGGGTGCCCAGGTTGCGATGGATCCCGGAGCACTCGATGCACATGAGGGCACCCAGGTTCAGACTAGCCCAATCTGGATCTGAGGGCAGCAGGATCAGAAGGGAAGACTTATTACCTGCACGGACTCACCAACCCATCTCCTGTGATTCAGGAGACCTGTATTTGCAGGTACCTGCCCACCAGAACCCTTTCCAGCCCAGTGCCCCTGGGAGAGGTGAGCATGGAGAGGCCAGGACCCCAGACTGGCCAGTGAGGGTCACAGGCCAGTGTGGCAGGTGGGTCCATGCCCCACCCCTGAGGAGCAGGTCCACTGCAGGAGAAGACAAGACAACCTCACAGAGCAAGTCTCTCTGGGCTGAGGAGGGGGTGGCTAGAGCCTCCTCGCCTCCTGAGTGAGCCCCCCAGTGTAGTGTCTCTTACTTGGTGCGTCACAGTCCACACAGAAGCTGTTCCCGCGTGCGGTGCGGACGGCCTGCATGGCCTGCGCGTCGCCCTGGCTGCCCAGCCGAGCCTGAAACAAACCCCAGGAGATCCCCTTCACTGTAGGCCAACCACCCCATCACACATCCTGTACACTCCTGAAGCCCACCAGTCCCACGCTCCAGGGGCATCCACGGGCACTGTTGCAGGGGGTGTCCAGCACAGGGGCTCGGACAACAGGGTCTGGAGGGACCACTGCTCATGGTCCTGTGTGAGTCAGAGGGGCAGGGTGGGCCAGAGCACGGATAAAGGCCAGAGATGTCCAGGGTGGGAGTGGATAACACAAGATCCAGCCAGGTGGGATGCAGAGAGCTCTGTGGGACTGGAGCCAGGCTGCGGAGAGGTGACAGGAAACCCAGGGGTAGCTGCACAGTCCCAGGGATGCAAGTCAACTCTGTCTGGCAGCAGAGGGATCCGGACAACATCCAGCCAGGACAGACAGGGAAGCATGGGACATGGCAAAGCAGATGCCAGAGAGGAGGGAACAGAGCAGAACTGAGCCAAGGTATCTTACCTTGTTTTTGCTGCTCTCACAGCCCTGCAGGCTGGCCAGGATCTGGCTCTCGATGGCCTGCACCCACAGCTCCCGCTCCTCTGACGTTGAGGCCTCAAAGAGCCATGTCTGGCCCGTCAGCGACACAATAATGAACTCAAATGGCTCATCTGGTTCTGGAAGAGAAAGATGTGCCATGACAGGACAAGGAATGAAGGGGTCTGCCATCAGACAGATCCCTGCAGGCCATTGCTGTGTCTGCACATGGGCAGGGCCACTGGCAGCAGTGGAGCCCAGAAGGCTGGGACAGGCAAGTGCCTACAGGGAGGAACTGGAGCTCTGCACCCATCCGACCTCCCACTGCCTACACAGCTCCACCGGCCTTGGCCTGCCCTTCCTTCCACACACAAACACCTGTGGCCTCGTTCCTCACCCAGCTGGTCGAGGAAACCTGGGAGGCTGCAGCACCAGACCCCTGGAAGCTGCTCATGCACACTCTCCATGTGCTGTGTCCCAGCTCAGAGAAAGCTGCTAACCTCTGAAGCAGTAAAACCAGATCCACAGAGCCAGTGCCCCCAAACAGCACTAGCACCAGCGCTTGGTGCCCACCCACGAGTGGCTTTGGAGGGTCCCGCACACCAAGTGAGGTGATGCAAGGAGGGCCTATGTGGTGGGCTCAGAGGCAGCTCTTCACCAAGGCTTAAAATGTGTTCTGCCCCCCTGGCATCTGCCAGCCTGGGCTCTGTCCTGCAGCTCCCCTGGCACTGTTCTTGGGGTGCCCTGCCTCAGCCTCACAGCCCCCACAGGCCACATTCGCAGGGCACCCTGCCTCAGCCTCACACCCAGCACCAGCATTTACCTTTATTGCCAACTTCAGTAGTTAGTGCAGTAAATGACTTAACTAAGCGGGGCCTGAATGGAATGACTAATAAACGTTATGTCACAGCACACGCTTCAGCTCATAGCAAAATGATTTGTAATTACCTAATTAGCGTTATGCAAATAACACCCTCATCTCCATAATGTGCCTTCCCAGCTCTCTATTAAAAGCAGGGAGTCAACTGCTCAGCTCCAGAGACAGCGCAGAGGCCGCGGGGCCCCCGGTCCGCAGCGAGGCAGAGCCTGGCAGGGTCTGTGCCCACATGGGAAGGAGAGCAGGGGAGTCTGGAGGAGGTTCCCTCCTCTGCCCGACTTCTCTGTGGCCAGGGAAGCCCCTCACTGTGGAGCAGCAGGAGGACAGGGACTGAGGAGCTGCTGCAGCCCCCAGCAGAACTGTGAATGTCTGCAGAGGCCACCAGTCAGGTCCCACCAAGGGCAAGGCCACCACGGGCTGTTGCTGGGCCTCTTTGAGCCAGGCACCCCCCGAACATGGTGCAGCCTTGGAAAATCTCCTTAAGAAAGCCAGCTCTAATGGGAGAGGTGGGAAAGCACAGCCCTTCTTTGCAGCCACCAACTGCATTTACAAGTACTGGGCACAGCACCCGACTCCATCTCCTCTCTCATACACAAGTGCTCAACGTAAGGGTAACCTGCCCTCCTGCACCTGTGCCATGGTGCAGAGTACCTTGGGATCTTGCATTCCACGGTTAAAAGTGAGTGACATCAGGTTGGAAAGGTACTGCCCTTTGTCAGTGCTGAGAGCTCCATGGTGTGTCCTGCATGGATCCCAGCAGCAGCCATGGGCTTGGAGACCACCAGTGCTCATGCATTGGTGTAGGAATGCAAGGCCAGATCTCCACACCAGCAGGGCTTGGGAAGGATGGACTGACTCCAGTACGAGGGACACTCGTGACTTGCCCTTCCCAGATAAGGAAGGGGAGAGTGTTTCACCCATTTCACTCTAAATCAGTCTGGGACTTTTCCTCTGGGGAAAGATGTCTCCAATTGCCTCTCTCCTGCTGGAACGAGACACTCTGGGCCCTCAGGACAACAGACTGCAGGGAGTGAGCAGTCAGTCATGCTGCTGGACTCTCTCCTTTCTGTGGTGCACTGGCCTAACCACTTGTCCAGCACTTTACCCTTTCCTCCAACTCTCAGCTGAAGGAGAGACCCCACAGTCCCCACCCTGAGGGGCTCCCTGCAGGCCATGTGCCTCCTCCCCTAAGAGTGTTTGCTGTGGAGGCTCCAAGGGCACCAAATTCCAGCACAAGAACAAGATTCTTGGAAAATATGCAGCTGGTAACTTGTGAATACTGAGAGAAGAAACAGCCAGACAACAGCCAGGCTAACAGGCACTGCCTCCTTGGCTTGCTGGCACCAGCCTCTGTGAGCACTGCCAGACCCAGCCACAGGCAGGGAGCCCCCAAACTGTAGGGGTGTAAGGACCAGCTCCCCACAGCCGCAGGACCAGCGGCTGCTCAGGAGCTGGAGGGAATGCTTGTCGGGCACCCTGACACATCAGAATGGGCTCTGTCCTCTCCAAACCTCTCCCTTGGTCTGTGCCACCCATGGCTGCTGTGCTGCACAGCCCACGCCAGCTGCCTGGACCCGGGAAGCACTGGATGCACTTCAAGTCCTCCCTGCTGCTGAGCTGCTTCCGCTGTCACTGCACAGTAGGACACAGGATGTCCGGGTCCCCGGGACACTGTGAGGATTCCTGGTATGGGCTCACATGGCTCCATCCTCTTTGTTCCTGTCTCTCATTTGCCCAGTACTTCCCCACCAAACACACAGGCAGGAATCCCAGTCCCAGCCTTCCTGTGCCCCTATGCTTCCCAGTGGAAGCAAGTGCCCATCCTGCCTGCCCAGGGCTCCAGTGCTGGGCTAGGTGCTGTCCTTGAGGCACAGCCCTCCTGCCCCAGGCACTGGCCTGGGCTGGGGGGGTGCTCCATGTGGCTCCCAGCCCTCTGCTCAGGATGCTCACAGGGAGACAGGTGGCTCCCTCCTGCTGGGAGTGAAATTTCTGGGGCTCCAGCTCCACCTGGATGGACTTTCCCACTGTCATATCTCAGGGATATCACATAACCTTGGGGCTGCCCAGTTCCAGCCCTGGCAGCATCCCAGTCTGACCGCAGCCCTGGCGCCAGCTCCACAAGCCACGGGACCTCCATTCCCTTCCTTCTTTGTGCCTCCTGGATTCCAGCTTCACACCGAACAAAGGGCCTGTTGCTCTCGGAGCCCGGGAAGAGCTAACAAAGGACCATGGCTTTTCTGCTGCTCTGAGGCAAACTCCCCACCTCTCTCCCCTGCAGCAGCATGGGACAGCACTGCAGGCCCGACCTCTGTGGAGGCCTGAGCATGGCACAGCTATGGCAGGGGAGTGGGGAACTGCAGGATCACACCCCCAGATTCACACGTGGGCTTCATCAGAGCTGGGAAAGGAATCAAGGACTCAGAGCAGCTTTGAACACTGTGCAGACTTTGCTTTTAGGAAGGTCTGGGACCAGCTCCTGAGCTCCCCAAGCACCTGTACAAGTTGAATCAGACTCAAGTAATTGCTTTAGGGAAAGTATGAGGCATTCCCAGCTTTTTCAGGGGAGAGGTACAGGTTTTTTATGTGGCAGGGAGACATTTCTGGACAGATGAAAGGGTAGCACCAAGCAGATGACATGGGCAGAAGGGTTCAGACTCCCTCTGCTGAAGCAGAGCTGAAGAACTCTCTCCACTGCCCCATGCGCAGGCATGGGCTCCTTCCTGGAGGCCAGAGGAGCCTCCAGGCTTGCCAGCTCTGACTCTACAGCAATCAGGTCCCGGAGGAAGTCACTCCTACAGGAGCAGGGAGCCCTTCCCAGCCGGCTTGGGGTGAGGGGCTATCCCAGGGCCAGAAGGCAGAGCCCGTCCCCCCATCCCTGCAGCTACCCACTGGAGTGCTGGTGGGAGCCCATTACACTGGCTCCATTAGAATTAGTGGGCAGTGGAAATGAACACGCTGCTTCTCTCTCTCTCTTGATGATTTTTTGATGATGTTTTAAAGACTGAGCTCCGTGAAGAGTTGCTGAGCAGAGTTCGGTGCGAGCCGGCTCTGCTAATGGGTGTTAACCCCACGACCCCCCTCCAACGCCGCCCGGCAACAAGGGCTCCGAACGGGAGCAGAATTAGGGAGGGCACACTGCAGTGGCTGGGACAGCAGGGCCACATGGCACCCAGACCCCACTAGCTGCTGAGCTGAGCTGATTCTGGCAGGGACTGCAGCAAGGTGACAAGTCCGGGGGTTTCACCTTCCCCAAGCTGCTGTGCTGGGGGCACAGCCAGCAGCCTCCCTGAAAACATGCCAGACCTGTGAGGAAGCCTCAGCTCTGGGCAGCAGAGGAGCACTATGGGGCTGTCAAGAAATGGGGGAACAGAGATACCCTGTGTGTTCTGACAGGAGCCAGCCCAAAGGGACAGGAGGAGGATAAGGAAGACTCCACCAAGGCACAAGGGAGGGCTGGAGTTCTGCTGTCCAAGGGGACCATGGAGCTGAGGTGCCCAGCAGAATGGTGCATCTGTTGCTGACACCTATGGGATGCTGGAAAGGAAGAAGGGGAACAGCAGTGTCCCAGAGTGCTGCCCTCACAGCTTGTGCCAGGGCCCTTCTCTTTGCTCTCAGTGGGGTGAAGCACAGCTCTGAGCAGAAGGGGTACACGGCAGGTGGGCTAAAAACTCCTCAGCTTCAGCACAGAGCTGGGACAAGGCTCGGTCCTGCTCTTCAAAGGCTCTGGCTATACTCTGCATCGGTGCCCAGTCCAGAGCAGGAAATGGGCAGGTCCTGCCTGTGGTGCAGGGAGACCCTGGCCCACAGCTCTGCTCTCTGGCTGCCAAGCCCATGAGGAATGTCCTGGAGCAGGACAGCCAGCAGCCCCCAGCCTCGGGATGCTTGTTTGCAAGCTGCCACTGTACCACATCATTATGAGGTGTTTGGGATATCAACAAATTAGCAGGCGTCTGGGAAGAGAAGGATGCAGCACCATTCGTAAATGTCAGCTCGCTGCCTCCTCATTTTGCAGATCATTAAACCCAATATTCCCAACCTGTATTAGTGCGACGGGGACAGGCCCCTCCACAGGGACAGCTGCCAGGAGAGCGCAGAACAACAGTGCTGCAGAGACCCCCCAGTGCCTGCTGTCCCGAAGCCCCCAGGCTCCAGAGTGCCCCAGGCTGAGCTGGGATGGCCCCAGCAGGGACAGCACAGGGGCAGGGAGCAGCACAGGGGGGCTCAAGCAGGGACAGGAACACTAAGCTGTACCACAGACGGCAC